GCTTTTACGAATTGAATCGGCTCAGGCCATGTCAAGAAAAATCTCTCAATGCTCGTTTAACAAAAATAATGACAATTCTATTATAGAAATATTGCTTGGTGTATGCGACAATTTAAAATACATTATGTAATTTTTAAGTAAATTTTTAAATTGTGCGTATGCCAGCAGCGTAGAAGCAACTACCATCTGAGAGCGAGGATATACTCTCCATTTATTTAGATTCAGAACAAAATATTATGTTATTTCGATAATATAAGGTTCTATGTGAAAAAATTTTTATATTGGTAGGCTTCATGATGAATCTATGATCTGATATTTAACGCGTGTTCTTTATGACTTATTCGAGCTCATTGAGGAATATCGTCTTATTTTTTATTGCTCCAGAATTATTTAATAAGGTGATCATCAAAAATTGTTTGGTAATAGTTTATGAAGTTAGTTATCATATTAGTTATCATATGAAAAGAAGAATTATTTCAGACTGAATTTTAGTTTATCTTCTCTGGAGACGTGTTTTTTTATTCTAAAATTTTCTGGATAATAATAAATTGAAATATATCAGTGATATTAGCCTAATAGTTCGATTTTTTTATTTCATCTTATGTTGACTTACACATTCTTCCAAGCTCTTTTCACGTGTTATTTATATTTGCAGAAAATCAGTATGTTTCTCGTTGTGAATAAACTTGAATTCGCCAGATGGAATGTCCTGTAAAAATGTTAAAGATACTTGAACACTCACTGGGTTTTAAATTCTACGAAAAGAATTTAATTTTGCAGCTTAGAAGCTTCTCAGAAAATAATTTAAAAACTGAGGTGCAAGAATGCTACTAACGCCTTAACTCTACCATTAACTCAAAAGCATAAAGCCTTACTACTAGAAGTGCTCAAACAACTGTGATTCGCAGAATAATGTTCATCTACTGCTCAGCCTCACAGCTAAGAGACGATGAATCTACCCAATCTCATTTGAAGTAGATGATGCATATACACAGCCTCAAGTCTTCGAGATCATGAATCTACCCAGCATCACGTCTACGGGATCAAAAATCTTCCCAGCCTCAAGTCTACGCAGTAGTGAATCTACCCAGCCATGCGTAAAGTTCAAGCTAGGTTAATCTACCCAGCTTCATGTCTACGCGACGATGAATCTGCCCAGCCTCACGTCTACGCGACCATGAATCTACGTCAAAAATACCTGCTCAATTATTCTCATAAGGAATTTTCGCCCTGGTTTTGACGGTCATTGGATCTTAATAAAAAAATCATTGTTCTTCAAGCGAGAAGCTTGAATTAAATTCGGTAACTGTTTTACCGAAAAATGAATGTTCAAACATAAGCTGGTTTCTTCGAAGCGCAAAGAGTAAATGTATTCTGTTTTTAAAATGTAGCACAAATATTCAAATGAATTAAAGCATAGCAAATATTTATTGCCACAACCCCACAAACTGTAGCTATAAAGCTGCCTCAATTAAAATTACTTTCTCTTCAAAGTGAGGAGAAGAAGGTGTCTCTCGTACTTTTGGTGACCTATAAAATATCAATTAAAAATTCTGAAGCTCGAGGTATCTTTCTATTGTTTTCTATGGTGATATTAAAATTATTAAAAGTTCATTGAAAATTTGAGTTGAAATAAATTCGTCAGTTTAGTTATATTTTCATGTAAAATGGTAGATATATTTTAATGGTAGATATTCAGACGTTTGCCGGAGCTGGTGCCACTGTCGAGTCTCAATAATGAGACAAACCCGAGCCTGCATTCTCACCAGAGAAACACTTCGAAACATTTACGACAATCTCTTCAAAATGCATGCATAGCATCGTACAAATTTGCAAAAAGTTTCTAACATTGTATTTAAAAAATAATTTGTTTCTATTAGCTCTCATCGCACGAGGATTACCTACAGCACTACTCGTATTGCACGCAGAATAACTACAGCACTGCTCGTATTGCACGCCAAATAACTACAGCACTGCTCGTATTGCACGCAGAATAACTACAGCACTGCTCGTATTGCGCGCAGAATAACTACAGCACTGCTCGTATTGCGCGCAGAATAACTACAGCACTGCTCGTATTGTACGCAGAATAACTACAGCACTGCTCGTATTGCGCGCAGAAGGCTAGCGAGTGGCGGTGTGCTGGAGTAAACAATTTTAGGCATCGTTTAAAAATGTGTTAATTCGATTCACGTGTACCGAACACTGCACCAAAATATGGCGATAAAATTAAATCTGAAGAAGCCCTTCTGAAATTTATAAATGATTATGCGCTGCAGAGTTATATGATTAATTGGAACAAGGATCTTGAGTTTCCAGTAATGCTGAACGAAGGGTATAATTTGTTCAATTGAGATACTGAAGGAAAATATTCAAATTTAACTCAATGAATTCGAACTTGAAATTGGAGTGTATACCGAAAACTACGTGCAATTTAAGCTGAATATGTAACACTTACAGATGCGTGATAAGTTCCCCCATACAGTGTACAGAAATTGCACAATTTTTTTTACATTTGCGCAATACGGTTTTACTTTACGACCGGAGTCCGTGCGTTGAAGCATACTAAGGAAGGCCATCAAGCTCCCCGAGATTTACATTTGTGCATGCATTAATATAGTCAAACTTTATTTCCATACTAAACAACAGCTTTCACAGAAGTGGCCAGAATATCAGTTAGCAACACACAACAAGCTATTGTTCTACAGCTACAGCGTCTAATGCTCGCATCCAGTTGTGAGGTTCTATAATTAATTCATCTATTGTGCCCAACATGATCCCTTATGTTTTAGATTAAAAATAGATGTCAACATTAAACAGAAACAGAAGATTTAGCTTACCCTGGGGGCAGACACCCACAACACTCGTACTAGTCATACAAATTCATTAATAACATTGAATACAAAATACGTTACTAATAAACGTAATCTTCTGCTCTAATCAATTACAATATGCTCCACGTCAAATAGGGGTAGATTGGATTGAAATCGAACTTTAAAATTATCTAAGCGTGTTATTTGAAAGATTATTTTTTCTGCAACATTAGCCCATTGTATGCTTATATACTTGTGATATCAATAATTCTTATTATAATTACCTTCGAATGAATACATTTATTGGTTATTCATTAAACATGTGCATGGAGATAACGAAGCTAATGCTAATTCAATTGCGAAGCTAACCGATAGGAGTTGAATAACTAAACATCGTTTCTAATAAAAAGGAACTATGCGAAGTGTGCGCTAGAATCGCCTGAGTAATTTCGTACTAATTTAACTAAACTACCGTGCCTAGGAGCTTATGTGTTTCAGTTTATCTACAACAAAACTGACGTCGATGCATTACAACATTTTAATTTTATTAAAATTTTCTTGTGCTATTTGCTTGCTAATAATTTTTATTTATATTTTAATATGCCTGCAAAATTTGAACCAGGTTTGCGCTCCGTTGTTCAATGTTAAGAGGCTCTTTTCACTTCACTTGATTCACACTGGCTACCAAATTTGGAGTTCAAGTTTTCCTTGTATATCATCGCTATTCCTGTTTATTTTTGACGGTAAATCAGCTTCTCGATCTTCTTATTTCCAGCTTATATAATCGGTAATCAAGCTTTTGTGTGTATCCAATTTTTTCTGCATTTCTGTTTTACATCTTTATCGGGAAAAAATAATTAAATTAAATGACTATAACCTGAGGAAAACACTTTCCAGTCAAGGCTTCGCCAACTACCGCTGTTCGATTTTAAGCTCCATGATGTCGTTTAGCAAATTATTTAGTTCAAAATTTATTAACCTTCCATTCACATTTCGGTGGAAATCAATTTATCGTTCGTGGATTCATATTTAGTAAACTGACATTTTATTTTTATCTTCCATCTTTAGTCAGTCGCTACATCAATTTTTGAAGGCTGTGTTGAACGTTTCCAGTCTCTACTGCTTCTCACGCCTGATCATCCTTAAGAGGACCTTTCACCCCAAAATCTATTTTCTATATTTAGCGAAGGATCGTTTCCAAACTTGGTACACACATGTAAAACAGAATTCTAAGACTTTTTTGTTCATGTGAATTTTTCGAAAAAAATGAAATAAAACGTGAAATTCATAGAAAACGGGCAAAAGGGGGTACTCAAAAAAGTTATAACTGTTGCAAATCACATGCTACAACATTGAAACGCGTATCATTCGATGCGTAAAGCAATTATCTAACGATTCCCGGGCCATTTTTTCAATTTTTTCTTGGTTCTCTTTTTATGACGATTTTTCTGAAAAAAATTGAATTTTTCGAAATTTACCCATATTTCCCCCACTTTTTTCAAAATATTTTCAAAACTATAACGAAATCGAAAAAAGTGGCCCGTAAATCTCTAGATATTTTAATTGCGAATCGAATGGTGTATGTCTCATCGCTGTAGCTTTAAAACTCGAGGAGTTATACAGTTTTCCGTGACCATAATTGTGAATGTATATTACAGCCCGACAAAGTCGCGGGAGCATCTGCATAGCACTAAATGTAGCAAGGATACGAAACTAAACGTTGCTGGAGCTCGATTCCACTCGAGGATGCTAGGAGCAAGTGCTAGCGCACCACTCCGTAGCTGTCTGCGGGGTAACTGAGGTGCACTTCGTGTAGACGCTCTATTTCAAGTGTTTGGTAGCTAATTACTTTCATAGGGATTTGTTAAAGAACCCCGCACCCGCCCCCCTTTTGGGATCTGCACTGAACGCATAGCTCAACGTACAGAGATGGTCTTGGTACCGTTGAATGCGTCAGAAAAGCAGCTTTAAGATGAGTATAGTAACTGGAGATTGGCATAATTGGCCGCTTTACGTCAGACGATTTACTTTATAGTGAAAGGCCGTGTAATTACTCCCTTGACTTTACTGAAGGGGGCCGGGCACCCGCCCTCCTTTTGGGATCTGTAGTGAATGCATAAATCAACGTACCGAGATGGTTTTGGTACCGTTGGATAGCTCAGAATGTTAACTTTAAGATGAGACTAAAAACTGGAAAACGCTAAAATCCAAAATTTTGCCGTGAAAGGTCCCCTTAAGCGGTGAAAGTCGTTTTTTCCTCCAACTTTGGGATATAGCGACTTGTGTCTAAAGTCACTACCTCTTCCTACGCCTGATTCTGAACCTTGGGAAGTCTTCCTCTCCGTTCACTTCAGGAGGTTGTGACTGAGATCTTCTTCCGTCCGCTGAGTTGTTCTTGGCGCCGCCAGCAGGTTCCCGGTCCGGGGTGTAGGCGCGACGCACGACGTTGCCTCGGAATGTGCGACCGGGCATGTGGTCCCGGTACACTAAAGGGTTCAGCATCTCCCTGGCCGGTGAAAGGGGTAATTGTGAGATTATATGTTCTAAAAAAGAATGTTTATAGTGAATTACAACGTACTGTGGTTTTAAAGAGTACTCCTCAAGGCTATGCTTGGTGATGTTTACTGTTTAACCGGGGCCGATGTACGACACGCTGAAGAACAATTTGGACAATTTAGAAAAATTTCGAAAGAAATTCCTAAAGGAATTCGCTCTGCAAAAGGTCTAAAGCAAAAGAAAAAAGCTACAAATGAACATTTTTCCTAGCATATCAATCCACCTATATCTTTATCTATTATTGCAATTCCACCATTTCACCTCACCTTGTCATCTGATTAAATTATCGCAGGACTGGTAAGAAGTCACAATATTTATACAATTTTTCTTTATTTTCATTAATCAGAAACAATCTCTATTGATTTAGGCGGGTGATTTTAGGTGTTTTTTAGGTAGCTAAAAGCCGTTAGCATCAATAAGCTGACTGTTAAACAAGGCCAGTAAAATATTCGATAGCAAGCGAAAAAGCAACCGGCGTGGATGACTCATCTATAGGAGTGCTGCTTTTATATATTCTCGAGTGTAGGAAACTTTTAGTATTAGTACGATTTAATATCAACTAAGTACAGCAAGTAGCAAAGCCTTATGTTTGCAGGAGCGTGATGAGTGGAACGCTGTGATTTTGTAAAATATGAAAACAAAAATGATAAGCAAGCAGGAAAGCAAATAATGCAGAAGATGATAAAGTTGAGAAATGATTACATTTGAAACGGTACCGGGAATCAAATAGATGAATAACGATTTATAATTTGGCAGAAGCAGAATTTCATAGAATACATGAAAATAGTCGAAGTTGTGTGCCAAGAACTCATTTCGTAACTCAACTATTTTGTGCAACGCATTGCTGAAATTTCTGAAACTGGAATTCAAAGTTTCTTCTTCAACGGGATAACACTTGTGCAGTTCGCAACTTGAATTCAAATTAATTTCTTAAATAGAGAATTGCATTTATAATGACATAAGAGATCATCGTTTTTTTCGGATTTTTTCTTGACTCTCCTTAGAATTTTACTTAGCATTAACTTATTTCTGTACATCAGTAACAAATTTAATAATCCAGCTGACTTCTTTGAATTAGCTAAAAAGGAAGAACCTAATGCCTAAGAAGCGGTGCTCTGGAACATGGCGCTGCGATTGAATAATAGCCTGTGACACTCTACATGGTTCAAGTGATACCGGAAACATTGTGAGTTACGGTTTGAGTTAAACCGTAAGTCTAACAACATTTTATCGACCATGTTTAGGGTAAATCATTGTTTTCGATCGATACGATGAAGATTTAATTCATGCGTGAAATTAGAATTCTAATGGCAAATAAACAAGATTTCCGTGTTGAGTTCACAGCTTTGTGGTTGAAATGTAGAATGTCAACCATACGCACCCGTCCGACGACTGTTGGTTCTGTCCGGAACTGCGGGGCCTATGAAAAATGCTTCTCAACAAAAGGAAGTTGACAGGAATTTTGAGGAGAAATTTTGGAAGAAGATAAAGAGGAATTTTGCATTTGAAAGGCCTCGGAATATTTTTATTATTATTTGATAATCAATAATTCTAACTGGGCTGCAGATTGATTTTGGGTTTCTATAATTATAAACTTTTGATTGTTAGTGCTAAGTTATTAGAATAAACTTGACGAATAGTTTTATTTTAATACATTTATAAGAAACAGGATTCTCAAATTAAAATAATCATTCATGAAACAATATAATTCAATGAATGTGCTTACCGAGGACTCTCACAATTAATACTATCATTCATCAAATTATGTCCTTCACGAGCTAACCTCTTTTTAATCTATGCTCAGGCCATTTTTAAGGGCATTATTACTTAAATAGATAATATTATTGGCTCATTTGGAAACCAAGATAGTTATGAACAAACTACAAAAAAATGTATTGCTATGAAAGTCAAGTATTCATCTCCAAGAAATACTTACTCTTCCTGCTCTTCATTTTTCTTTTTATTGCGACTCGCATCGTCTTCCTCATCGTCGTCCGTGCATCGTCTGAAGCGTCGATTGTGCTTGTCATCGTCTTCGGCTTCTCGTCGGGCCTCGTCTACCGAAAAATTCAAATGAAAAAAGATCAAGTGAAATTACGTGGAAAGCACTTGAATTTGAAGTAACGGAAAGAAACTAAGAATGATAAAAATAAAAATTGAAATGACAAATCATAAGCAACTGCCGAGTATTTCATGACGAAATGCTAAGCACACATGAAATCGGAGCAACTACACAGTATTTTTTCGAGATTTTATGTGACAAAAAGGGCAAAATTCAGTCAAAAGTTATTCGAATAACAAATTTCTGGTTGACATAAGTACACAAAAGTGAGCAAGAAAGTGAAAGAAGAAAGTAATACAGCATGAAAAAATATTGAAGGAGAATGGAATAATGGTAATCATAGATTATGAATATTCCATTTCCAGAATTATTAACTTCGGAGAATTACTTCAATAATCCCCTCCAAAAAAACATCCTCGGGTAAAAGGCGTCAAGACATTCGCTGAGTGACCTCTGAACAGAAATATAAGTATTTTTATTGCACCGAATTCAAGACTTTGAGTATTTCTCTTCTCTGTTATATTAGCAGATGAGACTTGAGCTGGACTTGGACAGAGAGCTCATCCAACTGAAAATTATGGAAGTCCAAATAAAAGTTTTAGTCCAGCAGTTCTTCTTTGTGAAGAAAAATATGAGCTTTAGTCAGACGAATTCAGGTTTTTTTAGCTAGCTCACCTTTAGCTTAAATTTTTGGAACAGAGTCCCAGTATTCTGAGATGTAATTTGAATGTTTTTAGTTCGTATATCATTTGCAATAGGTAATCATTAATTTGCTTCATAGGAAATTCTAATGTTTAAAATTCGGAGAATTTCGTGGGTGTATTTAAGTGGATTAAAATGCATTAATTTTATATAGGTTTTATACTAATTCGTTACTTGCTTGAATTGATTATGCCAATGAAAAAATGTTCCCATATGTTAGGTTTTTAAAATATCATTATATCTATTATGTTTTTTTATATTTTAATAACAGACGCGACGACTTCTTGTACCAAAATTTTATCACAGGCAGAATAGCAGAAGAAGCTTCAGAATTCTACTAAATGCGTTCAATTAATATGTACGCGATGTTCATGTAATATTATAAGAATAAGTAAATTTTTTTAAATAATCCGTCCGTATGTGTTTTTTAACTGACAGTGAGGATACAATCTTTGCAAAAAGGATATTAAAGTTAAGAACTATTATCCAATAAGGATTCTAAATTTAGTGCTGCACTCAAAATATCTTCTCACCGAAGTAATACATAAGGCAGTACAAAAATCCTTCCTCTTCGCCCTGGTCGCCCTCCTTGCGCTGGCGCGCGTGTGGCTGTTTCCTGTGTGGTCGCCCGCTCATCTCTGCACACTGTCACGGACCTGCACGCACCTGCCTTAATACAGCGGATTCCGTGCTCCACGAAGCTGTATTCTTACAGCGAATTCCGTGCTCCACGCAGCTGTCTTAATATAGCAAATTCCGTGAGAGAACAATAATTATCTTTTATCAAAGTTGGTTTTTACCGAAGTTGTTCCGAGCGCAGGGATTTATTACATTTGTTTAGAGATGGCAGAGGTTCTGGCTAATTTTATTCCGCAATTGCTCTTTTGCGCTGGATTTTTTTAATTGAAAATTTCCAATAGAAATTCATATACAATGAATATTCCCAACGCGAGGCATTTCATTCATTGGGTGAGTTGAAAGTGCTGATTAAGATTTGATTGGCTTTCAAAGACAACGTTCAAAATTCGTCGGATTTTTCAGGATTCCGCGCATTTAAATCACTGAATGCCAGATCTCCTACAATATCTAAATCACTCTAGTAGATTATTTTACTTATTCATATCTACTTTATTGTCAAGAATTCCGTACAACACAGCATGCTCAGTGTTCTATTTCAATTCGACGGGCATTCAAGAGGTCTTCTTCCCAGGCTCATACTTCATATACATTTCCAGGCAAAACTTTGCACAATAAAATTGTTTAAAGATTTTATTAGCTGTCAGCTATTCATTGCTTGGATCAGAGAGTGCACCTCGGCAGAATTAACATCTGATTGTATTACAAAAATATGAACGGTTTTAAAAACTCGATTGTGATTCATATGACTGACAGAAATAAAACTCTTCATTTGTTAGATGATCACGACTTGAGATTGCTATAAAACACACATTAAAATATTTTTGTGTATCAAAATCACAATTGGTCTTGTGTATCCCGAATTACACGTGGTTACTCGTAAGTAAAATCACTTTTAACCTGATATCTCTATCTCTTTGTATGAATTCTGGCGTAGTTATCTTGAAAAACGTTCCTGTTCGCCTATTTTTTCAAAGGCTCGTACATTGGTTCCAGCTTCATCTTAGCACTTCACGCAAGGCTTCATGTGAATCAATTCAGCTTTTATCAGAAGGCACCGTTGTTGTACTGAAGACTTGAAATCATTCAAATCTTATCAAGGCTTTCAAAAAACCCATGCAGAGTAAAGAGAGAGTGAAGTAACACCATAGACAGAAAACTAATTTTTGAACATCATTTATTCCTTCAATAAGAGCATTTTGTATGGATAGCGACAAACAATTTTCTATATATCAGTTCAAAATGCTGCCACACTGCCTGCTAAACGACATCATTTTAAAATACTGGTCATTTGAGGCAGCAAGTCTCGATGTCGTCGATCTACGTGCTAGGGTAACGGGTGGTAAATGCAAGCAATATCACTATAGTTACAAGCGTACGCGAAATCTCTACAAACTCTCTACTTCTGATGTAATCACGACATTTAAAAGTTTTAGCAAATATGTGTTTTCCATGTTATTTGTACAGGATGCGATGCAACGATATTTCGAGGAGTATTAAGATAGGGACGGAAAGAGCAGTATGTTTGCGTCCTGTTCATCTAAGTACAAGATTTTATTCGATACAAATCACGAGCCAAGTTTTTAGTGCATCAGTAACAGTATCGAGAAAACATGGTTGCCACTGAACTTACCAAAAAACTAACAACCTATCGCAGGGCATCCTCGATTCAAAGTTTCATTGCACTGTTTCAATCTTTCTCTTCTTTATTCAAATTTTCTGTGGGAAAACTTTCCTCTTCATTTACATTCTACCTTCATTTTCATTGAGATTTAATCTTTCTTTTTCAATATTTCACCGACGAACCATTACGAGAAAGACGAACCACAATATTTCACCGATTTTTTCTTAAATATTGTGATATTTCTAATTGTATGCGCATTAATTGAAATCAGATATTTTTGCAGCCTTGAGGGTTTTGGAATGTTGACATTTCCATAACTTCACCGGTCTACTTTCGGGCATCGAAAGAGAATATCAAATTCCATATTAGCAGGACTTTTCAACATTTTCGAACTCTTCTTTGAACTAAATGGAATTTCTCACATTTTCTTCGTGCACCAATCAATTTCGGCAATGAGGATCATTATGTTATTGAATTGAATAAGTGCATCATACACTAAACTTTTCCCGCAAATTTTACAATAACTTTACATGAATTTAATGTTACTCACGAAGTATAGGCACGGAAAAATTTAATCTCAACTTTCAGTTTAAGATTTCACTTTTCATTTATTTACGATAAATACTTTCTCAGCCATGATGCTATTTGATGCAATTTATATAACATCGGAAATAGGAGTTTAAGATAGAATTTTCTTCAAAAAAATAAGCTCCACAAAATTTAATATGTATAAAGGTCGCCGATTAAAAATTTCTGCCGTTTGAGGAGTCTTAAAACTCCGTTTTCTTTTGACGAAAATTTGTGAAATAAAATATTTTTCCGCATCCACCTGAAGAACAAAGAAATTAACACATCAACATCACAAGAAAAAGTGATGGGTTATAGATGTATTAATCCATCAGTGAAATGGAGTATAGAATTAAAATAAAACTTGCGCTTAAAAAATAACAGTACCGACTTAATTTTTACAGTATAATACCGTTTAATTTAAATTATGACATAAGTTTGTTCCGCCATGATTGGATCTTCGCGTATCCAAAGTATGTGTGTTGGATAACTGCTGTTATACTCGTGACGGACAAACGAGGTCGTCATGGATCACAAGATTCTCGGTCTGACGCAAATTACGGTGATTGAGATGTGTCTGGACACGGCAGCCTCATTTACAAATCACTGTTAGGATCTGTGTTAGGAGATCGCGTGAGGACTCATAATGAAGTCCTGATGCGACCTCAGCTGGATGATACGAGTCCTGCTACAGTTTGTTCAGGAAAACAGAAATATTACAGGAAAAACACATGTCTAGGGAGGATTTTGATGAGGTTATTTAGGAGGAACATTATGTTACCTTTAATCTTCTGGGACCTTCATGTGTTACTAGGATTTTTTTACTCGTTAAGATAGAACATCAAACATGTGGAGAGTTTGTAGGAATTAACAAAATATTGATACAATATATTCAAGAGAAAAATTAAAATGAATTGTCAGCAAAATTAAAAATTTGCTCAGTAGAAATGTAAATTCAGGGAACCAAAAGCGCCATTCATCTGTTTTCATTCCGTAAGATGAATGCTTCTTAGATCATATACGATCAAATTGATCATATATGAATAAAGTGATCATATTTGATTAATGTGATCATATTTGATTAACGTGGTCATATTTGATTAATGTGATCATATATGATTAACGTGTTCATATATGTTTAATGTGATCATATTTGATTAACCTGATCATATTTTATTCAGTTGATCATATATTATCACGTGATAATATTTGTCTTGATCATATTAACATATCTGATCAACACAACCGAGTTCAAGAGTTTAACCTGAGGTGGCCCTGCGAAGGCTGGACTATTGAAGACTATTGAATAAATATTCTATTTTTGAGGCATGATGGCGCAGAGCAGTTCACAAAGGCCTTAGAAATGAACGTTATTCATCGGTCAATAGAAGACCCGGCGGTCAGAAGCTGGAGATAATAGCCGACGAGCATTCAGATCAGATAATTGAAAATTAGTTCCAGATTAAGCAGAAAGGCTGATATGGGGAGTAATATTCCAAATGATTAAATGATTGTTCGTACAAGAAGATTTGTAATTAAAGGTGGCAGATACCCAGGAAATAATGCATTACTTGATCTCTTTTTAATAAAGATATTAATAATAATTGTTTTGCAAAATTTTTTGATAAAACTAGTAAATAATTAAAAATGAATTTCGATTCCAGTGTGATTTAATTCAAATATTTAAAAGTTATGTGAATTATTAATTGCATTATTGTTTCTATTGGATGACAAACACATTCATAACTGCATGTTAAAATACTACCTGTCTGAAAAATCATCTAAAAACATTAAAACTAAAACTCAATGACATAGCACAGAATTCTTCAAAGATTCTTTACCATTAGCAGTGTTTACTCAAGATGGCGCGTGCACTCAGCGTGTAAACAAAGGCCACAAAGTTGTTCATGTGGCCTAACAACAGAGACGGTCTCCCTCAAACTGTTTACATCCAAGCGGACGCTCGTGGTAAACAATCAAAATCTTGTTAGGGTTAACGCATTTTTCTACTTGATTAAAACGGAACAAATATTTTCCACGAGCTCGATATTAGAGAAGAGAATAAATAATAATGACACTTGGTGCCAAAATAAACATAATAAATATCGTAAACTTAGTAACTCAAAAAATTTCCTGATATTTATGCCGGGTGTTCATTTGAGTACCGTATAAGTGAATTTGATTATCATAGCAGGTATCATATTGTTCCTTCAAAGCAGCTTTGAATGAACACGATTTTAATTCTGAAAATTATATATATTACGATAATGTTATTGATTAAATAGTGATTATATCATTAGCAGACAATTATAGCATTATTTGCACGCGCCGATGCTTGACGAGAGCTAACTGACCAGGGAACTGATTGGGATAAGTCTACGGAGTTTAGAACAAATGTTTAATTTACTTGATCATGGAAAAATTTATGAAAGGGACATTTTGCATGCATATTTCATGAAGTTCTCTTATTTTGTAAAATTTCATTGCAAAATATGAAAACTACCATCATTTAATGATATTATTTAATAATATCACTGGTGGTTTTAAATTAATATATAAATCAAACTGAAGAATAAATCAATTTTAAAACATCATTGATCTAAATGGTTTGGAGGAAGCTCGGAATTTTTTACAAAATTAATTTTAACCTCACGATATTCATGTCTAAAAGAACAAATGAAAAGTTTAAGCATGAATTAGGCTATGAACTTATTTTTTTTTCTCTACATCGAACACTGTTCTTATAGACTATTTGATCAAATGACTTGGATAGTATAATATGATGAGAGTGACACAATATATATTCAAATAATAAAGCGCTTGGATGGAAATTGCAGTTTTATCCATTCCAGTTAAAACGTTTATCTGCT